TGTAATGTCCATATCACTGTTCCCTTTGAGGAACTGAGCCTAGGTCAGTTTGGGTCACTGTATCACTTCCTCACATCTCCCTTTCTTTCTTTTTTTTTTTTTTTCTGATTAGCTGCTTATCTGGGATGATAAAGAGCCCAAAGCTTCAGTTCTGATGATAGGCTAAGCTGCTAAGCAGGGAAATCTACAGGGGAAGAGGAATTTTCTTTCTCTGAGTTTCTTTCAGTCCATCCTGCTCTGATCCAGACCCTGACTTTTCCTCTCACTAAAGACTGAAGGACAGCTTTGAGTTTTTGTTTTCTCCGGATGCCTTCTGCTTTTCACATTACCTTCATTTTCTAATAAATCTGCCTCCATCCTAAAGCAAAGATCTCCCCAAAAGGGGAGAGGGGTGAGCAATTCAGCAAATCCAGCCCCCACACTGACCAATGCCAGCAGTGTGCTCCATGTTGCAATCACACAGCACTCCCCACCCCCATTCTCATATCACTTTTTCAGGGTCAGCCATGGCCATTATAATCATGGCATTCATTCTGGGTGGTGGCTTTCCTTCCATTTCCGTTGTCACAGTCATGGTGCATATCATTTCCCTGTTCTGCTGACTTCCTTTGCAGCGGTTCAGACGTCTCCAACTTCTTTGCATTCATTGGATTCACTGTCTCTTACAGCACAGTCTATGACATTCATATCCCACAGTTGTTTAGCCATTCCATATTTGATGGGCATCTGCTTTGTTTCCAGTTCTTTGCCATTACGAAAGGTGTCCTATTTTAGGTAATAGAAGGCCTTTCTGTCTTTGCCTTCTTTTGGGCATATGGCTGACATTGAGATCTCTGAGTCAAAGGATGTGGACATTGAAGTCATTTTCTTAGTGGATTTTTTTTTTAAGGTTTGCAAAACACTTTATTTTTTTAATTCTGAATTTAACAAACACCAAATAAAGTGAATGTTGTCATATATCTAGTGAGACAGAGGAAGAGGATTATACATGATACTACAAATCTCCATCATGTCGAGATTGCTTTTCTTTTCAAGTATATAATAAATTCAAAATGTTACTTTCAAAGCTGTCCTGCTTGGGTGGAATTCTTTCTGACCTTACTTCTATTCCCTTCATTTTATCAGGCAATCAGGGTTAAGTGACTTGCCCAGGGTCACACAGCCAGGGCGTATTATGTGTCTGAGGCTGGATTTGAACTCAGGTCCTCCTGACTCCAGGTCTAGTACCCTATCCGCTGTGCCACTTAGCTGCCACTCTTCCATTCATTTTAAACGAATGCTTCAATGGCCCTCTTCTCTTTCTTTTCCTTTTCCTTCTTTCTCTTTCTTTTTTCTTTTTGCAACCCTGTCTCCCATCGCCCTCTTCTTCCCAGCTGCTTCTTAAGAATTTTTAAAAAAATAACACCCAGTCCTTGCAACAAATACGCACAGTCCAGAGAAACAAATCCCCATGTTGGCCATGTCCAAAGTGTATGTCTCATTCTGTGTCTTGAGTACGTCACACTCTCTCGGTGTCATTCCACTGGAAATTGCTTTCCAGAATGGTTGGACCAGTTCCTAGCTTTCCATTGGGTGAGTTCTTAGGGTCTCTCCACCACCGAGCCACAGCTCAGACAGGAGCAGGGACAGCCAGGGTACAGCTTCTTGTGACTCACTGGTGTCCCTGAAACTGGACACTCATTTCCCCAGCAGTCTCCCTGCTCAGTCTTCTTCTGAGCGTAGTGGGCCTAGGATAGAGAGTGGGCTTTCAGAATTAACAGACTCAACCTAGAAGAATGGAAGAACCTGGAAGGCAGGTGTTGTTAGGTTACTGTCTTCACATCCTATGCTTCTCATGAGGAGACGCTTAGTCAATCAGCCAACAAGCACTCATTAGGTACTCGCCAAGTCCCAGGCTGGAGACACATAGAAAGGTGAAAACATGACCCCTGGCCTTAAGAAGTTCACATTCTAATAGGGGAGATGACATGCAAAGAAGTCTGTAGACACGAGAGACATAGAGCACAAATGGGAAGTGATCTCTGAGGGGAGGCACTGGCATTGAGAGGTCTACAGAGGGCCCCCTTTAGAGGCAGAATTGGGATGTTTAGGGCAGCCAGGGAGGCCAGGTTGTGGAGGTGAGGAAGGAGAGTAGTGTAGGGGGGAGGGGATGGGGGTGGAACACAGCCAGGGAAAAGGCGCAGTTGGGGTGGAGGATGGGGGATGGGTTGTGGAGGTTCAGTAAGATTTTGTTGAATTGAGTCCAGAAAGATCAAAAACAGCCTTTTTATCCTTTGTTGATCATTAACTTACCCCCTCACTACTAGCAAGGAGTGTACAAAGTTAAGAGATGAATAATAGGAGGTCTTCCCATTTGTAACTCCCCCCATTCAAAGAAAAATCAAAAAGGATGATGGGCAGGGGTATGCTGGTAAATGTTTAACAACCAGGATTATGGGCAGGGATCTACTCGTAAATGTTTAACAACCAGGTGGGGGGGGGGTCTCCTTTGAAACTTAATCTGAATTGGCAACATTTTCTCCATTACTTTCTTAAGTCTAGACTGTCAACAAAAACAATAAATTAAGCCCCAATTTGAAGTGTTTGCAGATTTTCAAGATGCAAATACATTGAAAATTTAACAACCAGCTCTCCCAAATCAGTCCAAGCTGGCTCTAGCACACACCCTTGGCTTGGTAAAGGGAAGCCACTTACCCCCTTTATGGCCTTGAGCAAACCCTTCCCCCTTTGACCCTCAGTTTCCCCTTCTGTAAAATGAATGATCTCTGAAGTCTGTACTGACCCTAAATCTATGATTGTATCATCTAGGTTCCAGGCAACCTGACCCACAGGCTGTTCCCTGAACCTGGCATTGGCTTTCTCTTCCCCATCCTCCCCCATCAGGGCAGGCACTTTCCCACGCCTGGAATTCGTTCACTCCTTATTCATTTCTGCCTTTGGGAAAGCCAAGCCTCTTTCAAAGCTCAGCCAATGTTTGTTGTTGTGTCCCACTCCTCATGAACCCATTTGGGGTTTTCTTGCCAGAGATACTGGAGGGGTTTGCTATTTCCTTCTCCAGTTCATTTTACAGATGAGGAAACTGAGGCAAACAGGTTTAAGAGACTTGCCCAGGGTCACACAGCTAGTGTCTGAGGCAGGATTTGAACTCAGGAAGATGAGTCCTCCTGACTCTAGGTCCTGCACTCTATCCACAGCATCACTTAGCTGCCAACACCTTGCCTCCTCAAATGATCCCTCCTCTATTTAAACATTTACATATGTATTGGGGAGGGCTACCTCCAGTAGAATGGAAGCTCCATGAGGGTAGGGAGTGTTTCATCTTGGTATATCTAGCACAGTGCATTGCACATGGTAGGCATTTAACAAATGCTTGTTGGATTGGATTGAATCTAATCCAATGACCTCATTTTGACAAATAAGGAAACTGAGGTCCTTCTGCTTAGAAAAATTGTTGTTAGGGTATCTTAAATCTATTAAAAAATCTATTCTTTTGGTCTACGAAGCTTTTCAGGCTTCCAAAGTGTCCTATTAGGGGAGGCCTGGGGGAGGGGCTGGAGGAAACCCTCAGGCATCTTATCCATCTTTGAGGGGCAACCTGATGGGAGGGACACTGCTGCCTTTGGAACTGAGAGAGCCGGGTTCGAATCACACTACGGATCCTCCTGAGCTGTGTGATCAGCACCAAGACACAGGAATGGAGATTTAAAGGCCAGAAGCGACCTTAGCAGCCCAATGCCCTCATTTTACAAATGAAAAAAGTGAGAGCCCAGGGAGGTTGGGATTGGTCCAAGGTCACACAGGTAGCAACCAGGTGGTGAGGGATTCCCACCCAGGCCTCTGATTCAGGGCCTACGGTTTTTTCCGCTCAGCCCCCTCCCATGTCTCTTGAGAGTTCTGTAATCTACAAAAGATAGGTAATTACACCCTGAGTGCCTACTTCACAGGGTTGGGAGGATCAAAGGAGAGCAGGGATGTAAGGCTGAAAAAGGCCACCCAAAGGGCCGCTATCATCAAAGCACATTGACCAAGAGGCATGAAGCGGTGCTGCCTAGTGGGTAGAGCACTGGACTGGGTGGCGAGAAGACCTGGGTTCCAGTCTTATTGCTAACACCTAGGTGACCCTGGGCGAGTCCTTGGGCTTCAGGGGCCTCTAAATTACAAGTAGATTGTTTGTGTTGGCAGTATTCCTTTGTGTTCCTGTGATACCTAAATCAGGGATCCTTAACTTTTTGTGTGCCATGGCCCCCGTTGGCAAGTTGGTAAAGCCTATGGATGGACCCCTTCTCAGAATCACGTTATTTTTTGTTGTCACATCATTTTTCAGTTGTATCTGACTCCATGACCCCATTTGGGGTTTTCTTGACAGATATTGGGGTGGTTTGCTGTTTCTTTCTCCAGCTCATTTCATAGATGAGGAAACTAAGGCAAACAGGGTGAAGTGACTTGCCCAGAGTCACACAGCTAGAAAGAGTCTAAGGCTGTTTTATTAGAACTCAGGAAGATGAGTCTAACTAACTCCGGGCCTGGTACTCTTATCCACTGTGCCACCTAAATACATGATTACAAAACAAAAGTTAGGGAAAATAAGGTATTTTTCCCATCCCAGTTCATAGATACCCCTGAAAACCATCCTTAGACCTCTTGGGGGGTGGGGTGTGGGCCCCAGATTGAAAACCCCTGATCTATACCAAGGGGCAATAATACCTTAAGGGCATGAGGAGGAGAGATGGGTGGTCTTCCCAGACAAAGTGCCCCCACCCATTCCCCCATTTTGCGATGGCCTGGCTTTGGTCAGAGGACACCCGAGTTGGGATTGTGACTAGAAGGGAAGGGGAGCTCCTCAGGTCTCTCCTTGGTGCTTTCTGAAGCTCGTCTTGGGCTGGAGGGGAGGAGCAGGGAGGCGGGGAGAGGAGAGCCACCCTCCCTCAGTCCTTCAATCGCAGTCTGAGCCACCCGGTTCACAGAGCTTGGCCACAAGAGGTACCACACAGAGGCAGACACTAGTCCCAGAGGCCACGAAGGCAGGTTTATTGGTGACAATTATTTAGCCGAATGGAGGGGGTGAGATGTCAGCATGCTGTGGGGAGACAGAGCCAAAAGGCAGGTGAGTCAGGCTATGTACCTGGGGAGACTGCAGCAGGTCTTCAAAGGCTTCTATGCAGGAGAGCTGCTGCCTGCTCCCAGGCTTCAGCTTCTAGCAATCAGCCCAGAATCACGTGTCCCTAGGCTGAGGCCGACGCTGGGCTTCCAGAGAACCCCGGCCCAGTCCAAACGTGCCTTCTCAGACTACTGCTGGCAATCTCGTCCCGCCATACACCACCACGCGGCCGTCTCTAGGCCCCGACCTCCCCAGTCTTGTTCTGCTCACTAACTTGTCCATCTGAAGAAGTAAATTGAACAGAACATACTTTTGAGCTCAGCTCTTATCCTAAGGCACTCACATGTGGACACGCACACACGTATGTTCACATACGGATGACACACAGAAGCCCACCACTTGCTCACCTTCCCCAGGAGAGTGAATGGGACCCACCAAACAGCTGCTGGCATTCCTTCTCTCCCAGATGCCTTCCTTGGTCTCTTCGCCTTTTTGGGGGCAGCCCCCTGCTGTGCTCCCCCGGGGGGGGGGGCATCTCTACCCGCCTGCACATCTGCCCTTGCTCTCCACTGCACCATATCCTGACTTGCAGATGTTGGGAGCTCTTTCCTGATTTCCGTGATTTCTGTCTTCCTGTTCTCATGCTCCCCCCGGTCCTTCTCCAACGTCTCATCATGGTGGGGCAGAGATCCAGGGCAAACCAAGGCTATGCCAGTAAGAGTCCAGGCCCTTGCCAGTTCCACTCGGCTGGACAGAAGGCTTTGAATACAGACCCAGAGCTAGACGGGGTGAGGATCTGCTCAAGGCCGGCCCAGATAGGCTTGAGCCCAGAAAGGTTCATCACTAAACCATTAGCTACTCAATGAGGACATTGTGGCCAGTCATTCCTGAAGCCTCTACTAAGGGGGGCAGGGGAATCTGGGTCACTGTCTAAGTGCACCCAGAATGCCCTGGGATGAAGGTCCAAGGTCACTGTTTCCCTACCAGGAATCTGTCCTGGCTGAAATGCCTCCTACAGGGCAGGGCCGGGGCCAGGGCTCTGTTCAGAATGCTCACTGGGGTTCCCTCACCACTAAAAGCATAATAAATAGTAACACTTGAAGGTTTGCAAAGTGTTTCACATACAAGATCTTATTTTATCAGCACAAAAACCCTGAGAGGGCCATTAGTATAGGTAACACTATTCTACAGATAAGGAAACTGAGGCTTGGAGGCTAAATAATTCACTCAGGATAGCTCCAGGCATTTTCTCTGGCTGGAATGCCTTCCTTCCTCATCTCGGCCTACACACTTCCCCGGCTTCCTTTAAGCCCCAACTCAAAGCCCACCTTCTACCAGAAACCTTCCCTCCCCCCTCATCACTCCGGGGCCTTCCCTCTCTCCATCATTTCCTCCTTATCCTGCACATAGCTTGTTTGTACATAACCGTTTGTGCTTTGTCTCCCTCACTGGTTAGTTCTGGAGAGCAGGGCCTTTTGCCTTTCTTTGTACCCCCAGCACTTCGCACAATGCCTGACACATGGTGGGTGCTCACTAAAAGTTTTTTGGCTGACAGCTCATGGCAACAATATGAGTTAAAACCAGGGGCTCTCTCCACTTCAAATCCACAGCCCTTTGGACCACACTATATTGCTTCTCAATAAATCATAATGATTTTTTGATGATGCTAATGCTGGAAAGAGGTAGGCAGGGAAGAAAGGAAAGGAAAGAAGCAGCAATTGTTTCAGGAGTACCTGGACCATTTTGCCGCCGTTTAAAGGCTCTCACAACATCCTTGACACTGAGCTAGAAAGCAAGGCTCCCCTGATTACTGTGGGCACAAGGAGGAGGCCACTGCAAATTACAAGGCTTGGGGAGGAAGTAGGGTTTTATGGAGAGGCCCAGACTCGGAGGCAGTTAAGAACTGGGTTCAAATCCTGCCTGGGACACTAGAAACACTAAACCTCTCAATTCCTCTTCTGCAAAATGGAGATCATGCTTGGGTAACCCCACTGGGTTGTTGCTAAGGCTCCTAAAAGAGAAATTCAAGGCTGGGGGGAGAAAAAACCCTCAAAACCCGAAAGACCTGCCTCCTGCTCCTCTTTGGACACAGACTGACTAGCTGCCCTAGATGGGGCCCTTGACGGCTCACGGGGCCCTGGTGGCGCTAACACTGGAGACCTCCAAAGTGCTGAGCTGCCTACGTGCAGGGAGGCCCCTCTTCAGGCACCCCAAAGGACAGTGCTTTGTACATTTTAAGGTGCGATGTGCTTCTTCCAACTACTAAAGTTGGAAGTCCAGCCTAGTGCCTCACAGCTTAACAGATTTAAAAGTAACCGGGAGGGAAAAAGTCAATGAGCAGCTGTGGACAAACCCACCTGCTTCTTTTTTTTCTCTCCCAGAGAAACCTGATGATGGGGCCAGCAGGTCAGGGCCACAGTGGGCCTTGACTTCTCAGGGCCTGTTTCCTGTGGCCTCTCCCAGCTTCCCGAGAACACTGACCACACTCCCTCTTCCAGAATTACACAGCCCCCCCCCCCCCCCCCCCCGGTCCCCGGGAGGCCTGCTCCCCCCCCGGGCCCCCCCCCCCCCCCCCCACAGACCTTCCCTCTGCCTCAGGATCGAGGCCAGGCCAGGCAAGGTGCCCCACTTGAGGAAAAGCCCCTGGTCACAGTGCAATAGCCCTACGGGGGGGCTCTGGCTTGGGCACAACCCAAGTCACTGGCAAGCAGGATCAGAAATCATAGGGACTCCACTCCCTTTCCTGGTTACATCCTTCCTGAGGCTGCTGCAGCTTCCTGTTCAGAAGCCTTGACCTTGGGCCTCAGAAAAGGGAAGGGAGGCCCTGGGAGACGTTCACTGTTGATCTAAACTGCCCTAAGGAGGGGCAGGGGAACTAAGGCCTGACTTCCAGGGCTGTGGGGGGAAGGGAGAAGTTGTTCCCAGGCATATTCACTCTGCTGGATGGGAAGCAAAGGAAGTTTGGTGGGGACACGCGAGAGGCTCACTAGCAACTGTCCAGCCTGAAGGACCTGGTTCCTTCAGAGGGGCAGGGGACGGCTACCAGCTGAGTGGAAGCCACCTTTGCCACCCTCTGACAGGCTCCCTGCACTTCTCTGTGAAGGCCTGACCGACCCCCAACTGCCCACTTGCCTGCCAGCTTGGTCCCCTCAGCTCCTCCCCTTTGACCCAGCTCCCAAAGGCCCCTAACAGTCTTTGCCCCTGGCCTGACTCCCAGTTCAAACACTAATGGTACTCTGCTGGGTTTCTATCTTTTTTTTTTTCTCCCTTAGGCAACTGGGGTTAAGTGACTTGCCCAGGGTCACACAGCTAGTAAGTGTCAAGTGTTTGGTCTGAGGCCGGATTTGAACTCAGGTCCTCCTGACTTCAGGGCCAGTGCTCTATCCACTGTACCACCTAGCTGCCCCTGGTTTCTATCATTTTTTAAACCAATCAATAAGCATTTAACCATCGCTTGTCCATTAGGTGTCAGGCAGGTGCTGGGCCCACAAAGAACTCACACTATCCCATGTACCCTCCTCAGTATCAAAGCAGCAGCACTTAACCTTGAGTGAGACTCAACTATGTGAGCCTGGTCAGTCAGTCAGTCAGTCAATACACACTTATCAAGCATGTACTAAGTGTCACGCACTATGCTAAGTGCTGGTCAAGTTACTGAGCTTCTAAGCTTCAATTTGCACATCTATAAAATGGAGATGTGATACTTATAGGATCTACCTCACAAGGCCACAGTAAGGTAAGTGCTTTGTCATTTTTAAGGCCTTATAGAAGTACTAGCTGTCAGATAGCAACAAGTTTCTAAGTTAAATTTTAATACAATGAACTCAAAGTCTCTATCACTATACAGTTGAAACCAACAAACAAATATGAAGTACCTACTAAGAGCATAGGCACTGTGCTAGGGACCATGGACACATAGAGAGAACACAGGCTCTGCTCTCAAAAACACAACTTAATCTAATTCGGGGAAGGACGACTATATAAATACTCACAATACCAAGGGGAATAATATAAGTACAAAGGACAGGTCCAAGTAAAGGTTAATTAGAAATATGAGGCAGAAAAAATAAATTTCACAGAGCAGTGGAAAGGGAGTGGGGTGGGGAAGATGATGTCAGGGAAGGCTTCATGGAGGAAGTGGCATCTCCATTGGGCCTTGAAGGAAGGATAACAATGGTTGGATACAAGTATGCGGGGATGGTGGCAGTGGTTCATTTCAGGTATGGCAGCTGGTATGAGCAAAACAACAGAGATGGGAGAGAGGAAGATGGGAATAGGGAAAAGTCTGGCAGGTAGAAACATGTATGAGGTAAAGCTCAAAAAAAAAGATGCAACTGTTGGTGGAGTTGTGAGCTGACCCAGCCATTCTGGAGAACAATTCAGAACTATGTCCAAAGGACTGGAAAACTGTGCATATCCTTTGATCCAGCAATACTACCACTACTAGGGCTGTATCCCAAAGAGATTTTTTTAAAAAAAAAGGAAAAAAGACCACATCTACAAAAATATTTATAGCAGCCCTTTTTGTGGTGGCAAAGAATTGGAAACTGAGGGGATGCCATCATCTGCGGAATGGCTGATTGTTGTGGTACATGAATGTAATGGAATACTATTATGCTATAAGAAACAGTGAACAGGCTGACTTCAGAAAAACCTGGAAAGACTTGTATGGTCTGATGCTGACTGAAGTGAGCAAAACCAGGAGAACACTGTACATAGTAACAGCAACACTGTGTGATGATCAACTATGATTGACTTAGCTCTTCTCAGCAACATAAAGATCTAACTAAGACATCTCCAAAGGCTTTGTGATGGAAAATGCTATCCACATCCAAAGAAAGAACTATGGAGTCTGAATGCAGATCAAAGCAGACTATTTTCACTTTCGGTTTTTGTTTTCTCTCCCATGGTTTTCCCCTTTTGTTCTGATTTTTTTTTCACATGACTGTGAGTGTGTGTAAGAGTTGGACACAATTGCAAAATGACGAAATAACAACACCCTCCTCCAACTCTTCAGTTTCTTCATCTGAAAAATGAGGTTGGATTACAGGATCTTTGAGATCTCCAGCTCTACCAGTCTATGATTCTTTGACTTATTCTCGCTGTTTTAATGACCAAAGTGGATTCTGAATAAATGATTTTCATTTAAATGACTACCCCCCCCCCCAAAAAAAGAAATAATGAGCAGGATGGTTTCAGGAAAACCTGGGAAGACTTATATGAACTGATGCAAAGTGAGCAGAACCAGGAGAAAACTTTATACAATAATAGCAATATTGTATAATGATCAATTGTGAAAGACTTTGCTATTCTCGGCAATACAATGACTCATGACAATTTAGGACTCACAACAAAAAATGCTATCCACCTCCGGAGAAAGACTGATGGAGTCTGAATATAGATCAAAGCATACTTTTTTACTTTATTTTTTGTGTGTTCCTTCTTTTTTGGTCTGTGTCTCCTTTCATAACATGACTAATACGGAAATATGTTTTCCATGACTGCACATGTATACACATACTTATATCAAATTGCTTGCTATCTCAGGGAAGGGTGAGGGGAGGGAGGAAAAGAATTAGGAACTCAAATTTTTAAAAAATGAATGCTAAAAATTGCCTTCACATTTGAGAAAAAAATTAAAAGAAAAAAATTTAAGTAGGTGCAAGTCAGATTGTGGAGAGCTTTGAATGCCAGAACCAGTTTATACTTTATTTGGTAGGCAACAGGGCGCCATCAATGCTTCTCTTTGAGTAGCAGCATCTAGAAATGACTTCAGAATCCACAGTCTAACCCCCTCACTTTACAGCTAAGGAAACTAAGGCCGGAAGAGGTTGGTTGATTTGGCCAAGGTCACACAGGTACTAACTGTGGTAGAGCCTGGATTTGAATCCAGGCCCTCAGATTACAGCATCTATGCTTCTTCCACTGAGGAGTGAGTCATAATGGTGCATTTGGGAGGTTCCTTGGGAAATGGTGCCGAGCTCAGATTGGAAAAGGGATGGAATGAAGACAGGAAGACTTCATTAGCCTGAAGGGGGGGGAGTTTGAAGTGGAAGGGCCTTTTTCAAGAGATATTATGGAGGTATGAATAAACGTAGCAGATAGAGAGCCAGGCCTGGAGTCAGAAAGACCCGAGTTCAAATGTGGCCTCAGACACCTACTAGCTGTGTGACCCTGGGCAAGTCACTTCACCTTGTCTGCCTCAGTTTCCTCCTCTGTAAAATGTGATGGAAAAGGAAATGGCAAACCACTCCAGTACCTCTGCCAAGAAAACCCCAAATGAGGTAGCGAAGAGTCAGAGACAACTAAAACAAGTCAACAACAACAATGAATGAATGGTAGGGCTTGGCAACCGACTTGGAGCGAGGGGAGAGAAAAAAGAGTGAAGGTTAGCTCAAGATTCTAAAAAGGGTTTGGTTTTATTTTCTCGGGAGGAGAATGAGTTGGAGCTTGGACATGTCAATTTAAGGTGCTGGTGAGACACTCAAGTGGAGATACCCATAAGAGAACTGGAAATACTAAACCCAAACATCTGCAGAGAGCTCATAACTGGGGTCAAGTGGGAGAGAAAAGAGTAAGTAAGAGGGCCTAGGACAGAACCTTGAGAAACATTCACCCTTCAGGGGCCAGAAAGAGATGAGAAGTTAACAAAAAGACAGGAGAAGGAGTGGTCAGAGAAGGAGGAGACACTGATCAAGGAGAGGTGGTGTTCACAGTACAAACTACCACAGAGATGAAGAAGGACAAGGGTGGAAAAAGGCCTTTGGCTACAGAGAGAAGGTCGTCAGCAATCCTGGAGAGAACTACATCAAGTGTGGGGATGGAAACCAAAGTGTAAGGATCTGAAAAATAAGGCTCGTGCAGACTTCCCTTATTTAGGAGTTTGGCTGGCAGAGAGGTGAGGGTCTACATACAAGTGAAACGTACATTTTTCTGACACGGCCAATGTGTTGATTTGTTTTGCTTACCTGTACTTTGCAGCTACAAGGAAGGATCCAAATGAGGGATGTGGAATTCTTGGGAAATGAAAATGATGCTTATTTTTAAAAAGCATCTACAAAACATTGGGTTTGGTTTTTTTTGTTTGTTTTTTGCCTTTTTTAAAAAAAAAATGAGGCTAGCACAGGGTTAGACTGAGAGAATAGGGAGGCATTTCAAGGGTTTCATTTGGTTACTCAGTCTCACAATCCTTGAAGATTCCATAAAATGCCAACCCCAATCCCCAACCAAAACACATAAGGCATATGCAGGCATTTGGTACCAACAAGATCCCAGGAAATCAGGAATTCCATAACCGTATTTTGATCAAAAGTGCAGTCTAACAAAAACTCTTCTTTTTGCAAAACCTCATTCAGAATAAAGTTTCCTTTAAAAAAAAATGGAAGTGCCTTGGAAAATATAAGGGGGGGGTGTATGCAGTAATTATGAGGCATATAAGTAAAACCAATTTGAATTTGTAGGGGAAACCATCCCTTCTCCTTCTTGAACCAATGTCTTGACTGGCTGAGCCATTACCACCAGTCAACTGTTTTTTTTTTTTTTTGACTGGTTTTTACTGTTGTTAGATGGCAAGATGCGAATGGCCAGACAACTGGGCGCAGAATCATAAACCCCGAGCCAGAAGGGACCCTAGAATCCATCTGGTCTAACCCCTCATTCTATGGACAACTCGAGGCTCAGATCAGTGATTTAACCAATGACATTCACATAGGGTAAATAGCAAAGTCGTGACGTGAACCCACTTCCTCTAGCTCCAAGTCCAACGCTATTTCCACCACACCAGGACATAAGAAAAGAGTCCCTGACAACAGTCTAAGATGGTAGGTGGCACTTGCTCCCTTGGGCAAAGTCCTGAGCACATCAAATCCTGCGACTTGTTTGTGCTGGGACTTACAGCAAGTGGGTGAATGTTGGCATCATGGTCTCCCCTCTCCCGCCAGGTGCCTCCAGCTTGGTGGGCAATACCTTCTCACTTGTTGGAAGCAACTGGGTGGTGCTTGGAGTCCAGATGGCCTGAGTTCAAATTTTACCACCCACCCTTCCTAGCTCTTTGACCCTGGGCAAGTCACTTAAAACCTCTTCTGTTCCTCAGTTTGCTCATCTGTAAAATGGGGGGGGGGGGGGGGGAGTTAGACTTCACAGTTCCTAAGCTCCCTTCTGGCTCTCTAAACCCAAAATCCCATGACTCTTAGGGAGGCCCCTTTTTTCTGACATGTACCACTGTTACTTTTTTTTTTACTCCCCTCTGCTCCCCTCCCACCCCCCCTAACCACAACAAAGTTCCTCAAGTCCTAATGTGGTTTCCTCCCCAGCCCTTCCCATTCTGATTCCAGACCTGCATTCTTGTTCCCACAGTCAGCAGCCCCTCAGACATCCAGAAGGGAGCCTGGAATTTATCTAGTCCAACAACCTCTTTTTCTACTGATGAAAAAAAAAAAAAAAAAAAGAATGCAGCCCAGAGAACTGAGTGGTTGTCTGAGGTCACACAGCTAAATAAAGGCAGACCCGGGATCAGATCTTGGCTCTTCTGACTCCACCAAGGTAGTGCTTCTTTCTGCTATAGCTCACTGTTTCTCAAGTTCCTAGGCCTAGATCATAGATCCAAGATGCATTTAACTCAGGAGTCACCCCCAGTCTTTCTGATCAACAGTGGGAACCTATCGAGGAAGAAAGAGAAACCTAAGTGACCCATTTCTCTGGAGTTCTCAAGGACCTGAGGGGACCCAAGGCTTGCATGGGCTGCCAAAAGTGAGCCTAGGATGGCCTGGTTCTGACCCTGCTCCACTGGTTTCGGTTCCTGTTGGGCTGGGCTAGGCTTGGGCCTTTAGCCACAAAGCACTCTCTGTGTCTGGCCTCCACCCCTTCCAGCACAGGTAGAGTGGACAGAGACAGACCCTTTTCTCCACTGGAATCTGTGGTCCTCCAGGATGGAATGGGGCAATCTGAGAGGAGCTCGCGCTTCTCAGATTTTCTGTACCAAGCCCCAAGCTTCCACGTCCAGCTTCACTGGCACATGCAAACACAGATTTCCTTGACTACAAGGAAGAGGCATTTATTGCTTTATAATAAAAAAAGAAGTTTGAGAAAACTTTAAAATAAGACAAACAAAAAAAAAATCCCAAGCCCACACCACCTTTACACCTACTAGGAAGCCTCACCTGATGGGTGCTGCAGGTGAGCACGCTGAGGCCACATGTTGGGCCGAAACCCCAAGAGCAGCGCCTGCCCCCACCTCTCAGCTGGAGGGCCAGGCCGAGAGGGGTCCCTGCATCCCATAAAGGGCCAGGCCGGCTTTGGAAAGCCTAACGCCAGGGGGCGCTGCGGACCTGCAGCTGCATCACTCAGTCTCACCCAGACCAGCCCCGGGGATCTGGTCCTAAACACACACACCCAGGCACACACTCGCACAACTCCACAATCCAAACACACGATTCTTCCCCCCTCCCCCAAAGAATCTGGGAGTCCAACAGGCACCTCCCTTCATTCTCCTCCCCCACCCCAAAACGCCATCCAGGCTGCAACTGGACCCTGCCCAGGGCTGCCCAGCGAGGCCCCACCCACCCAAGTGCCCTCCAAGGAAGAGGGTCGGGGATGACTTTGTCAGGGCTCTGAGGCTCCCTCTGAGCTCTCGCCTCCTGTCCCCTGACCTTCGCCCCAGTCTCAGAGCAAGGCCACTCCCTCTGTCCTGGCCAGCAGGGACACAGCAGGATGAGGTGACGGGGTCCCACATGCACATGATAGCAGAGACTCTGCGGGGGGGGACGTAGGGCAAGGAGAATCACAAGGGGGTTAGCACCAACAATGACAAGAGGGGCCTTCCTTCCTCACACAGCTTTCTTGGGTGATGGCTGTCTGGGTGCCACCAGGCCAGGAGGTGTGTGTCTCTGGGTCTGAGTAGAGTGGACCAGCGTGGAAAGCCTCCCCTCCGTGGGCAGACAGTCTGTGTTGGCATGCAGCAGAGGGAGCAGCTGGCTTGGCTCATGGGCACAGGGAGGACAGCCCACTCCTCGAATTTGGCGAAAGAGGCGTTACCCAAAAACTCAGGAAAGGGGGCCCACTGGGCATCCGAGGGTGGTGTCAATCCCACAATATCGTCCTCGTCAGTCTGTCGTGGCAGACAGCCGAGAGCCAACAGACCGGTCCTCCAGGAGCACAGGGAGGGAGCTGGAAGGTGGGCAGGGGGCAGTACCAGCCCCAGCGGGGACCCAGCTCCTCAGCAGCTCTGGCCAGAAAGACCAGGTAGGCTTATCCTAACAAGGAGGAGGCCATCAGTCCAGCCCCGGGTGCTGCTGTCTCAGGCCCTCAGCATCCATCCCACCCCATCCCAGCTCCTGGTGGAGGGCCAGAGGGCCCCCGAGCAGGGGACCACAGCCCGAGCTGCAAACAGCTTCTGACGTAGAATCCCAAGAGTGCCAGAGTGGACGGGGGCAGAGGCAGGGTGACAGGAGACGTGTGCTCTGGGGGCCCAGCCGGGCTAGGGGGCCAAAGGCAGCCATGGTCCAAGTGGGGGAGGAGCCCGTGGAGTGAAGCGTGGGAGGGCCTACACGAAGGCCTCCTGATTGGGGGTACCGTTGATCTTCAGGAAGAGCTTCTCGTCCTCTCTCTTCTGGTCCAGCTGCCTCTGCAGCTGTCGCCGGTAGAAGATCAGGTAAAGAGGCAGGCAGAAGCCCAGCAGGCTGACCCCAAGGAGACCCATGTTAACCTGCAGAGGCACGAGGGGATGGGGGAGGAGAGGTGGGGCTCAGCTACCCAGGGCCTTCCTAGGCCTTCCTCCGTTCCCCTTCTGGAAGGCAGAAGAAGCCAAGAAGGGAAGCCACTCTCCCAGAAGAGCCGAGCTCCACAGCACAGCAAGAGGGAAAGCACACCCATACTGGAACTGGGAGAGCTGGATTCAAATTCCACCTTGGAGGTTTACTACGTGTGACCTTGGTCAAGTCACTGGGCCTCAGTTTCCTCATCTGCGAAACGAGGGAGCTGGACTAGCAGAGGTTTCTAACCTGGGGTCTGTGAACGTGTCATTTTTAATCTGGTGATCGCTGTATTCCAATCTAATTGGTTACCTTTGCAGTCCTCGCTGGTTTCTTAAATGCCTTAACAAGCTGCTTCTGAGCAGGGGACTCCTGGGCTGAAGGCCTCTCCGGTTCCTTCTAGCCCAAGGCTGCTGGTAAATGTGTAACACCCAGCTCTCCAGAAAAGCCTAAGTGCCCATCCTTATACAATTAATCTACATTCTTAGTACCTTCTCCATCACTTTTTTTTTTTTTAAGGCAATTGGGGTTAAGTGACTTGCCCAGGGTCACAGAGCTAGTAAGTGTCAAGTGTTTGATCTGAGGCCGGGTTTGAACTCAGGTCCTCCTGACTTCAGGGCCAGTGCGCTATTCACTGCACCACCTAGCTGCCCCATCACTTTCTTAAATCGAGACAATCTACAAATAAATCAAGCCCTGATTCATAACATCTGCCACATCCTAGGGTGTAAATGTTCACACCTAAAATTTAACAATTGGCTCCCCAAGCCGGCATGCTGAGCTAGTCCCAGCACACTCCAGCTTCCAAGAAGCAGGACTGAGGATCCTGACCACGGCTTTGAAGCCTGAAAAACCTTCAGATCCTGCCCAGCAGAAACTTGATTTTCTGGACAAGGAATCAGGGCTCAGTGAGGACCAGTGACTTGCCCAAGGTCCCATGTGGAATAAGCAGCAGAGGCAGGATTCGATCCGGGGTCCTCTTGTTCCAAAGCAAGCACCCTATTCATTGAACCACCGTACAGGACTTCTCAGCACCCCCACTGTCTCTAAGCGTTGGCTTCCTCCACCCTTCCAAACTGGTTCTGGAGAGGGCGCTGATGTCCTCCCTGCCCCACCGACACCTTGCCACAGGGAGAGGGATGGGCTGTGAGCCTGCCTGCCCCAGCCTCTACTTACCCAAAATGGGTCTCCCTGAAGGGGCCCCATCATCGCCACAAACAAAGGCTGCTGCAGGAGAGCGAAGAGGGCACTGACCAGGGACTGAAGGCCCGTCAAGCTGCCAAACTGGGTGGAGGGGTACCTGCCCAAAACAGACACACACCCTGTCAGGGAGGGGCGCCTGGCCTGACCTGGACAGAGGCCTCCTATCTGAGCCAGGAGGAGCCTTCAGAGCCGGGGAGCTCCACGGCCTTGTTTTACGGAAGAAGAAATTGAGGCAAACAGGGTCACAGCTACTAAGTGCCTCAGGTGGGATTTGAACTCCGGTCTGACTCCCAGACCAGAGCGCTACCCGCTGCACCCTCTTTTGGACTCAGGAATAGACCCCGCAGCTGTCTCCTTCTCAAGAGCCTCCGGGAGGGCACTCAGTGCCAAGTGAAGAATGATCTCTCCTCCTTGAAGGGACGGGGAAGAGGCCCCAGAGAGCAGCTCGGGCAAGGTCTGCCACCCCAGATCATGTCCTGCTGAGTCTGCCAGGTCTGACCTAAGGAGGGCACAGCAGGGGGGGGGTGGGGTGGTTCAATTGAGCATGTGTGCATACATGTGCGTTCAGAGTATTCACATCAGAGCTCCTGGTCCCTGGGGACATAAAAAACCGTCCCTGGGGACATAAAAAACCATCCCAGGTGCCAAGCGGTGAGTGTGTGTGTGCATGTGTGTGTGTGCGCGTGCGCACGTGGGGGACTTCAGGGACTGGAAGATCCTGCTGAAAGGGATTTCGTAACACTGAGGATCCCGGAAAACAAGCTGAGGAACATGTCTGAGCTGTGGCCTAGTGTTCCCGGAGCCTGCGTCCAAGGAAAGGTTGTGTAATCGCAGACACATGGTGAGACTGCCAGGCTCAGATCGGAGCTCCCAGCAGCTGCCACTTTACCAAGGCTCAGCCACTGTGATGGGCAGCCCTGGGCTCAGTCCTGCCTCAGGGGGCCCAGAGGGGTGGGGCGCCATCTCCCCAGGCAAAGAGCCCTGAAAAAGGCGAGATTTCTATCACCCCCTCATGCAAACACATACATATGTATCCCCCCCACATACTACCCCAACCCATCATTCACCCATACTACACACACACACACACACCCCACATACACATATATACTATGCCCCACCTATCCCTACCACACACATACAAACACATACACACATAAACACACACCATATACACTCATAGCATTCCTCACTTCATCCACACAAACACATACCACATAGATATACACACCATACCATACACATACATATGCATACCACCCACAGACATACCACCCTCCACCCATCCCTCCGCACAATATCCACACAGCCACACACACTCTCTACACCAGACCCACATCACACACATATACCCTGCGAATAAGCCACCGCAGGCCCCAGAGGCCGGAGTCCCATGGCGAGGAGATAACGACCTAAGAGTATGGGGGCTAAGGCAGGCCTGGGCCACAGAGTGGGGGGACAATCTGGGTTCCAAAGGGATGTCGTCACTTCATGGAGAGCCACAGGGCCTATTGCAGCTGGGGTCTGACATGGCTCCTGGCTCCAGGATGCGGAGCTCTCTGGGCAGCCTGGGAGAGGGTTTCTGGGATGTACTCTGCATTCAATTATCCACACTGCAGCAGCTAAGCTGAGTTTCTAAAACTCCCCCAGCTTCTCCTGCGGGGAAGGCCGGGTGCACGGGGCCCTCCCTGCTCACGCTCCCAGGAGGCAGCCCCCCTTCTCGGGGCCCTCCCCGCTCACGCTCCCAGGAGGCAGCCCCCCTTCTCGTGACCAGCAGCCAACCGACCCTCCCTTCCTCATTCCGGGGCCAGCCCTGAGGCGGATGGCCATAGAGCGTGCTGCAGTCACAGGCCCTGGACAGAGGTCATGACCTTGTTTGCAGGCCTGTGCCCAGGAGCACCTAACTCTCCTTCAAACCACCTTTCTCACGGATTTTACTGCTGGTCACTTCACTTCCTGGGGCAGAACAAACATATCTCAAAGGAAGCCAGGCCCATCTATGGGGGAAGAGCCACAGGCCGGGCCTGAAGGACTGACTTCACCCCGCCCTTGCCCCTTTGGCCCCAGTGAGCACCAACTTACACAGCAGCATAGAGACCCCCGACGGCAGAGTGGATAAAGCCCCGAACGATCGTGTGCAGGATGAAGGAGAGAACCTGGGGAAAAAGCAGGAGATGAGTGTCCACGGACAGTCTGGTCCTCTGCTCTCCTCAGATGGCAGGACCAGGACACTCCCCAGGCATCTCACACACAGTGGGCCCAAGCAATCAGGTTGCACTTACGAAGTGCCTACTACGTACCAGACACGGGGGGAGGTGAGGCGATACATTCTCACCAAACGGACTTTGGCTCCCTGAATGCAGCGCGCCATCTCCCCTTTACATGCCTTTGCCCAGGCTGTGCCCAGAGACAGCCTCAGCATATACTCCCTCCTCACCTCTGGCTTTCTTCAAGCCTCAGGTCCAGCACCCTCTTCAGAGGCCTTCCCTAATCCCCACAGTTGTTTGTCCTACCCTACCCCAATTCCTTTTTCTGTATTTTGTATCCATTCACTTATCTGTGTATATATTGCTAGGCCTGCCCTTCCTGAATGACTTTGTATTTTACAATACTTATCTGCATACATGTTATTTTCCCTCTAGCAGAATGTAAGCTGCTTGAGGGCAGGAACCATTTTGTTCTGTGTTGGAATTTCCAACACCCAGCACAGTGGGTAGCACATAGTAGGTATTTGATATATACTTGTTGATTGAATGAATGACCGAGTGTGGTCCCAGGCCTGCAACTGCATGGTGATACAATTGCTGTCTGCTATTGACTGAACCCTGGATGGACGGACAGGGTGTGAGGACCTAGGAAAGTGGGGACTCCCTTTTCTACTGTATGTACAGTTTGGGGCAACGGCAGGGACCCCTCCCTCCAACCAGGAACAGCAACTGATTGGCTCTCTGGGAGAGAAGTCCTCATCCCTCAAATTTAGAGTTCTACACACCCCAAGTACAGCCAGGCCCCTCTCCTCCAGCCACCACGGCACTCCCGGGACAATAGGAAAAGACCTAGATTCAAGTTCTGACTCTCACCAACACTATGAGTAACTCGGGTGAGTCAGGGAGCTTCCAGGAGCCTATAAAAGTGGCAGCTGGGGTGAGTGGACAGGGACTGACCCTGGGGCTTCTGACCCATTCTAGCTGTCTGGCCAAGGGAGAAACTGCCTAACCTCCAAGTGCTCCCCAGGAAACACCCCAAGGTTCTAACAGATGCCTCGGGTAACAAATAATTATTGGTGCTACAATTAAGTTATCAATTTGCATCAGTGGAGGGAGTTTCTATACTGGGAGCTCCCTATACTAGGGAAATCACCTAGAATACCTTCCCCCACTAAACAATAAAATTAAGCAAAGCATAAAATACCTGAACTCCTTTTAAAATGAGTGTTGTGAGGATCAAATCAATCAATCATTTAATTAAGTGCCTACTATGTTCCAGCAGGCACTGTTTAGATGCACAGGCAAAGGGAGAGTCCCTGCCTTCGGGATGTTCACATTCCATCATGGGACACATGCAGATAAGATCCCTGATGTGAAAGCCCAGAGCAAACTGCTAAGGACTGGACAGGTGTGAATGAGTGTGAATTAGGCCCTCTCTGGGTGCCCATCGTAGCCCTGCTCTGCCTCACTTGCGGCAGGTGCCTGCCCCACTGGTCAGCCCCTCACTGGCCCAATATGCCGGCCAGCTCTTATTGACAATTACCCAGGGGCCTTTTCCATTTGAGGGGTTTGTTTGTGAAGGCTAAACATTCTAAAGCTATCTTTGCACATAGTCCAGCCGGCCCACATCCAGCAGCCAGGACCTGTTCCCAGGAATGTGGGTGGCAGAGGAGCGAAGCTCAGTCTGCCCTTTGTCATGCCGAACAAATACATACACACACACACACACACACACACACACACACACACACACACACACACCCCCCCCCCCCCCCCGCCCAACTGGACAGTTTCTGCCATCACTGCCCTGCTCCTTAGCAAACACACCCTGAAGAGCTGCACCAGGAGGTAATCACCCACCAATGATAAATGTTACTATGACGACACAGCCAAGGAGGGGACCAGAGAGCCCGGGGCCACAGCCACTGGGGCCCAGGATGTGGGGCTCGGCCCCACCTGCATCCCTGGGCCTGTTGGAGAGTGAGGGCTCTGCCACCCACTCTGGAAACTCAGGAGTTTATCCAGAACAAGACAGACCCTTTGATCTTCCCGTCTCCTACTTTTGCTCTCTCGGGCAGGGCGAGGGCAGCGCCATCCTCCTGGCCCCCTAGGTCTGCCACCTCACTATCCTCCTTGGCTCTTCACATCATCCCTTCTTCTTCTACCCAACCAACAGGCCTCACCCCCCATTCCCTTCTCTCCATGTCCCAGGCCAGAGCAAGGATTCATCCCTTCTCTCCCATGCAACATCCTCCTAATGAAGTCTCCCACTGCACTCCATGGCAGCCAAAGCCATCTTCCTAAAAGCCCAGGTCTGACAGTGTTCCTACTCTGCTCAATAACCTGAAGGAGCTCCCTATTTCTTGTCAGGTCACAACAGACCCCTCTGATAGTGAAATCTCCTACAACTACATCCGTCCCATCACTCACTCTACAGTCTAAATACAAAACCAGCCTTCTTGCTGTTCTTATACACACCATTCCATCTCCAGTCTCTGGGCCTTTGCATCGGCTGTTCTTACTTCTTAGAATTCCTAGTTTCCTTCCAAGTTCAGCTCAAACCCTGCCTCCTAGTGGAAGTGTTCCTGATCCCCAAAGTGATCAGTGCCTCCCCACCTTGTATTTATTTTCTGTCCAGTACATAACAGCATGTTCCAAACGTCTTAGTGCAGGTTGGAGCTGTATGTTTATATGTATACATATGGTCTCCCACTCCCAGAGGGCAGGGCCTGTTTAATTTATGTCTTTGTATCTGTGGTGCCCAGTACAGGGCCTGGCAAATAGTAGGCACTTAATAAATGCTTGTTGGTTGACTGGAATCCCACTGGCCCTGGACAACCATTAACTCAAAGGTTAGACGCCACTTCTTAGTACCCCCCATCCCCGGCCCTGACCGCCATCACTGAAATGCTCTCAGCATGAACTGCTCTGTCTCTCTCTGTCTCTCTTTCTTTTTGATGTTTTACAACAAGGGATGGTTTGGGGAGGGGAGGGCAAGGACAGATCTGGAAATTAAGGCAACACAAAACCCCAACATACCAATAATTGTTTTTTAAAGAATGAAACATGACCCAGCGAAAATGAACATGACCTTTCAGGGGAGGAGATGGATATTCAACGAAATAGGTGACTTCCAAACCTTCCTGATAAAAAAACCTGAGCTCAACAGAAAATCTGATCTTCAAATACAAGACTCAAGAGAGACAAAAAAGCAAGCGGGACAGAAAGAAACAACATGCTATTAATACGGGCAAACCATTTACATCCCTACAAGGGAAGATGACACTTGTAACCCTTGAGAACTGTATTGTTATTACACCATGTTAAAGGGGTACACATAAAGGGGGTGGGTATAAGTTGACTTTGATGTAATGATAGAAAAAAATCTATTCAAGTGGGCTAAATGGATCCAAGTAAGTGCATTAATCTGATCTAACTAAGAAAATGTACTGAGAGAAAAGGAAAGGAGGAGGCAGACAAGGGTAAATTACATTACAGGAAAAGGCACAAAAACCTATTACAGCAGAGGGAAAGAAGGGAGGGGGATGAGCATTGTTTGAACCTTACTCTCATCAGATTTGTCAGTTAGTTATAGAAATCTAACTTGCCCTATAGGCAGTAGGAGGGAAAAGGGAAAAGAAAAGGGAGAGGGGATAGAAGGGAGGGAAGAAGTAGTAAGGGTAAAGGGGAAGAAAAGGGAGAGGGCTAATAGAAGACAGATGAGACTGAGGGAGGTGTGGTCAAAAGCAAAACACTAGTGAGGAAGGAAAAGGAGAAAGGAGAAAGAAAAGCATAAACGGAGGGGAAAAAGGATGGAGAGAAAGACACAGATAGCAATCATAACTCTGAATGTGAATGGGATGAATTCTCCCATAAAACAGAAGTGGATAGTAGAGTTGATTAAAAACCATAATCCTACAATATGTTGTTTACAGGAAACACATCTGAAACAGAGGGACACATACAGGGTAAAGGTCAAAGGCTGGAGCAGAATATATTATGTTTCAGCTGAAGTAAAAAAAGCAGGGGTAGCAATTCTGATCTCAGACAAAGCAAAAGCAAAAACAGATCTTATCAAAAGAGATAAGGAAGGAAACTACATACTAATGTTGATAGACTTAGCCTTTCTCAGCAATGCAAGGACCTAAGACATCTCCAAAGACCTCATGATGGAAAATGCTATCCACATCCAAAGAAAGAACTATGGAGTTTGAATGCAGATTGAAGCAGACTATTTGCTATTTTTTTTCTTCTCTTGTGTTTTGTTTCCTCTTTCTGGTGGTTCCTCCTATTGGTTCTAATTCTTACTTACAATATCACTAATGTGAAAATATGTTTAATAGGAATGTATATGTATATCCTATATCAGATTGTGCGCCATCTTGGGGAGGGTGGTGGGGAGGAACGGGAAGAAAAATTTAAAACTTAAAAGCTTATGGAAGTGATTGTTGATAAATCAAAATAAATTAATTAAAAAAAAAAAGAATGAAACATGATCAGAGCAGAGGGCTCAAATAGGAAGGGGAACATTCTGTCCAGCGCCTTCCCACTCTGGGGGCCAAATGCTCTCGGGTGATGGAGCTCGAGGCTTGAGGAGCCCTGACCAGGCCTATCCTGCTGCACCAATGGCCCAGCAGCAGGACCAGAACTGGGACAAGAGGACAGCAGCTGCTCACCTGCCCCCACTGCCACGGCACAGAGAGGGGCCTTTCTGGACCCTGAAATCCCAAAGCCTGGGCAGACCCTTGGGGTGGTGGCCTCATGCAGCAACTGGGAGAGGCCCATGTGGTTCCAGAAGCCCTCTGCCCTGTTGGGTCTGCACGTGGACCATCAACCACCTCCTCCTACCTGCAGAGGCAGATTGTGAATGAGACAGGTGACTCCGAACCCCAGCAGCAGGAGGTTGGTAAAGGCAAAAGCCCTCATGGCATTGGTGATCTTCTGAATCTGGCGATCTCGCTTCTTCTTCTTTTCCCCTCTGCAGAGAAGCACAGACGCAGACATGGGTGCCGGGGGCTGCCACCGTGGGTGTGGGATCCTCCCGACAGAGGCTCAGTATGAGCGCCGTCTGGCTGCCCCAGGAAGAAGCGAGAACCACGCCTGCTGCAGGGGGTCCATCCAGGCTGAGCCACCGTGGAGGACGTGCTGAGCTCTACCATCTGGCAAGGCCTCTCACACTCACACGGGAAGAGCTCAGAGGGATGGAGAGCTGCTACTTATTTGCTCATGCTACGAACTGGGGAGTCACTGGGTCGAAGATTTAGATTTGCGAGGGACCTTTGGGATCACCTGGTCTGACCTTTCTTTTTACAGATGAGGAAACTGCAGCCCATAAGGTTAAGTGACTTGCCTAAGGTCATCCAGATGGTAAGTGAGCCAGGATTCAAACCCAGGTCCTCTGACTCCAAATCCACTTCTTTTCCCACTTGCTAGTTAGTTGGGGAGGGGGGGTGGAAGGGAAGGGAGAGGCTGGATCACCAGTGGAGAGGTGAGCGGAACAATAGCATGAAGTTAGGACAAGCTATGGATAATTCCAACACCTCAACCATTGGTTTTAATGGCCCCTCTGGGAGCATCAGTGAACGTTTGGAATTTCCCACTTTCCCCTCAATTTTCCTCTGTCGTTGAAGGGAAAGAGCTCTGAATTTGGAATCGGAGGACTCGAGTTCCAATCCCGGCTCTGAACAAGCTGATTTGCCTCTCTGGGCCCCTCCGGTTTGATCTGTGAGGTCCCTTTCAGCTCTAAACCTATAACTCTAAGGAAGAGCCACATAGCTAGCAAGGAGGAAGCAGGAGAGACGGGAGGGGTCTCTGACACAGTGTGCAAGGAGGATATTCCAGGTGGGACCACTGAGTCTGCTGCAATGAGCTTCCTACATAAGTCATCAGGCACGCCCCGACGGGGGCCCGATCCATGGGACAGCTCACGCTGAATAGGTTTTGCCTCTTCCCGACCCCCAACCCCCCGCTCTTCCACAGTCCACATACTGGTCACCATCTCTCTCCTCGGCCTCTTCAGAGCCGTCGTCACATTCCTTCAGCCTCCAGTCCATGATGTATCCAATGACAGGGGCCGTCAGGAGGCAGAGTAGCTGTAGCCCACCAAAGATGGATGTGTAAAGACCCACTGGAGAGAGAGACAGACCCTATTAGAAAAACCATCTCCTACACGGCAGCCTAGGGCCACTGGGTTGGGCAGTCATGGGCTGCTGGTCCGCCTCAGATGCGACTTTTGCTGCAGGGAAATCCAGATGTTTCTGGTATCAGGGTGACTGGATTTTCCACTCCCAAGCCCCTAGGAAGCCAAGATGCCTACACTGCTTATGCTAGGAACCCGAGAGAGTCCAACCAGCTTTCCAACACACTACCAAATGCTTATCTCCCAGACAATGAAAAAAGCCAACGCATTAGGGAGGAGTAATTTCTGTCCAAATCTCAGCTTTACACTCACTGCCCAGATAACCTTCATGAAATCCTCTTCTTTCTTTCTATGAAAAGAGTGGATTGGCCTAGGTGATTTGGAAAGTCTGTTCTGGCTCCAAATCTCATGACCTCATAAGCAAAACTCATTTTTTTTTTTCAAAATCATAAATATTTATGCTCAAAAAAGCAGCAAAATCCTCCCCCAGTTTTCATCGAGAGGCTTTAGCGTGGCCTTATCAGACTCACTATTTGGCTTTGTCATACTGCTTTATTCTTTGTGATGAGGGATGGCTCTCCTCTCCAAGGAGTGATGGGAGCAGGAGACATTTGGAAATGTAGGTGATTTAAAAACAAAAGATATCAACGCAAATACTAATTATAAAATACAAAAAAAATTCCACATCCAGAGTGCTACCAGAGACGGGCAACTCACAGGGACTCCAAGTTAAAGTTATGGGCCTGCAGAGTGTTTAAAATGTGGTAGTCGCCTGTCCTTGTGTTTTTTCTCCCCACACTGGTCTAGCCAAGAGTGGGCAGGCGAGAGAGGTAAGATCATGAACATGGTGGACTTTTCTGATGAGGAGAGGAAGGAATGGATGGACAGCCATCCCACTTACCTGTAGCCATCACTGCATCATGAAAGCAAAGGGAGAAAGGCAGAAAGGGAAGGAGTTAGTAGCAGAAATCTCAGAAGCTTACAAGGGAGGGGTAGAGACGGGTCAGCTTAGGGCTTGGCGAGGCCACACTGCGCTTCAGGACCTGACCCACAAACAGCTCCCGCGGGACCATCTGAGATTCATCTAATCTCCTCCAGGCCATGGCAGAGCTGGGGGGTCTATGTACTGGCAAGGGGCAATATGGTCATTTCTCCTGTTTTCCCAAACTGCTGCAGACCCAGCCATGTAAGGCGGGACTCCTACGTCACACGTGCGCCGGTGAATCAGTACAGTGGCTAAGACAGGGATGGGGAAGCGACAAGGGGAAGTGAGACTGGGGGCCGCCTCTGTGTGAAGGTTTAGTCACCCAGAAATGAGGGGCAGGGGACGGAGAAGGAGGGAGAAGAGGAAGCAGCTTTGGGTACTCTAAAAGCAAGGCATCTCCCGCAGCAGGCCTTCCTCAAGCAGAAGGGGCCTGTGCACAGCCTCACTTATAGAGTGAAAAGCTTGGACATGGGAGTCAAAAGCCACGGGTTCTAGTTCAGGCACTGCCCCCAGCAAGCTGTGTGATCTCAGGTAAACCCTCTGACCCTTCCCTCAAGGGCTCTGAGAGGCTCAGGCCAGATGAGCTCCAGGGCCTTTTCAGATCTAAGAAAATAAAAACCTGTGGATCCCTTAAAATGCCTGGCCCAACTGCCCTCCGCAGTGGAGAGCACAGTTCCAGCACTTCAGAGCAATTAAGGCAATGGCCAAGACTCTAGGATCACAGATTTAGAGTCAGAAGGGACCAGAGAGCGTCATTTCTAAGATGAGAAAACAGAGGTCTGGGCAGGTAAAGTGATCTGTCCAGGGTCACACAGCTAGTAAGCAGCTGGGGCAGGATTTGAACACAGGTCTTCCTGATGCCAGGCCCAGCGCTCTAACCACTGTACCACCTGGCTGCCTCTACCACGTAGCGTACTTTGAGAAGAATCCTAACAAGGAGGTTGCCCCCAGAGTCTCCCTGCACATGCCCGTCTTCCACATTTAGTGTTGCCCTGGGTTCTGTCCACTGGGATTTCTTAATGAAGAGGATGCCTCTGGACAGCTGCGGCAGACCTCATGCGCTGTTTTGTGGAAGCAGCCTCAGGGTCTGCACATTTAGTTCTGTAAACTTCAGCTAACAAGTCCAGACCGGACTTGGGCCTCCTCTTGTTACCTAGTTCAGGCCCTTCACACACAGGGCAAACAGCAGCTGCAGCTACTCAGCAATTCCCAGGCTTTGGCCAAGTGATCCTAGGATGGGCAGGCCCTCAGGACACAAGGCTGGGCCACAGCTGCCGGCCTGTGAGGGAGATCTCCCACCTCCTGCTTCCTTAGGGACTCTCTCAGGGCTGAAGTCCCATTTGGCCCCTCTGCTAAGTACTAGGCCCACCGGCTGCTTTTCTGCCGGCCTCTGATAAACCATCTACCCTTTCCCTACTGGAAAGAAGAGAGAACAGGTGGGGAGCAGAAGGCAGAGAGACACAGAGACACAGAGAGAGACAAGAGACAGAGAGGCAGAGAGTGAAAAAAAGCAAGAGAAAGAAAAAGAGGGGGGAGAGAGAAAAAGAGAGGGAAAGAAAGAGAGAAAGCAAAAATCTCCCACTCGCATTCCCCCTCGGCACGCTTCCCTGACTCTAGGCAGGACAGAACCTCGCAGGCTGGATCTGATGAGCAGGGCTCACTGACATTCAAACACTCCCCTCGATTTCAACCACTCGATGCCTTGCTGGCTGGGGCCAGGAGCAAAGATTCCGGGTGGTCAGCAGAGCCTGTCTGACAACAGCCGGTCAGGGGGTGCCCCTCCCACGGAGTGGGGGTGGGGGGGGTGGGGAAGGGAAGGCATGCCCACCCCTGCCTCGGTGGGTGGTGAGTCAGCTGATCAGGAACCACCCCCAGGCAGGTGGGGGCTGGCTGGGGGAGGGGCGGGGACAGTAGGCGCCAACGACAATGACAGAGGGGTGGCACGTTACCCCATGGCCCACCTGCATCCTGGCTGCCGCCAGCGAGGAACTTGAGGATGTTGTTCATGGCGCCCATGTAGAAGATGAGGCGGAGCTGAGTGACGCACATGGTGACCAGGCTGAGCAGCAGGATGGGACTGAACACGCTGTGTATGAAGGAGGGGGCTGCTGCGGAGAAGCACAGACAAGGTCAGGCAGGAGGATGTCCTGGCGGGACTGGAGGGAGGGACGACACAGGCCTAGGCCCCCCGGAGCACAGGGGGGCCACCTCCTCCCTAAGGAATGCCAACTCCTTGAGAGGAGGGACCGTCTGTGGTTTCTGTGTCCTGCATACAGAAGGAGCTTCATAAACGCTTGCTGGACCAGCTTCTATAGCTAAAGTTACAGCCCCAGGGCCTTAAAGAAATGGGCCTGGGGGCCAGGAAGGGCCCCGATGGATACCAGCCACCCTGCTCGGAGGAAAAGCAGGAACAAGGCCGGGTGACCATAATGGGCCTGTGGAGGGGATCCGTGGATCCATTTCCAGGAAACCCCGAGGCTCCACCCACAGAGGGACCTCCCAGCAGGGAAACTGCCTCCACACATCCAGACTGGCAGCGGTTCGGGGCCACCTGGTCACACTCAGAGGGGGGACTCGGGTCCAGGCCTTCCTGGCTCCCAAGTTGGTGCTCTGACCACTACACTACAGTGGGAGTCAGAAGCCCCGATTCTAGCCCTGTGTGTCCTCCCTGGGCCTCCGCCGCTCCTGCTGCCCGGGTGGCCAGGACCTCGGTACCTGCGTCATCCGGCTGACACTTCACCTCCAGGTCGATGGTGGACAGACAGAGCTTGTTGCCCTCCTGCAGGACAGCCTGCTCCTTGGGCTGCTTCATGGAGCTGCCCACGCTGAGGCGCCGGCCCACCGTGGTCACCTGCTTGTAGAACTGTTTCCCCGTGATCTTGTGGTCGAAGCCCAGCCAGCTGAACTTGATCTTCACCCTGTGCAAGCCGCAGGGGGAGGATCAGCGCCGACATGGGCGCCTCTGCTTGCGGCCCACCTTCTGCCACCCACCGGCCCTCCAGCGCCACTCACGTGTAGTCCATGTCCTCTGGCCCCGGGAAAGGCTCCAGGGGCCAGTTCAAGAAGCAGTTCAGGAAAACGAGCCCAGCACAGCCAGCCCAGACAACCAGAATGACGATGAAGGAGACCCCGAAGTCATAGATCACCTAGGAGAAACATCACAGCCACAGGGTGGTACGGTGGGTAACGTGCTGGCCTTGAAATCAGGAAGACCTGGGTTCAAATCCCTCCTGACACTGACCGGACAAGTGACAAACTCTCGGCCATAGTGTCCCCATCTGCAAAATGGGGACTCAGACTAGATGCCTCCGGATCTAGACCTGTGATCCCGTGGCAGGGCAGAGAAAGCCGCTGCAGGCCTCAGGGTAGACGAAGGAAGACAGAATGAGAGGCGGGCGTCTGGTCACCAGATACTAGAGCCGGACCAGCCACACTGCCGGACAGGAGCCCCATCTCTGCGGCCAGAGGCCTGGGGTGCAAACCCTGCCCTGCGGCTGATGGCCAGAGTGACTCTGCTGGGGCTAGATGCTGCTATTTCTGAACCTCAGTGTCCTCCTCCGTAATTGCAGGGGTTTGGGCCCCTGACATTAACGCCTCTGGCCCCCGAGCAGGAGCCCCAGGAACCCAGAGGGGTGGGGGCAGTCCCTGTTCCGCCAGGTTCGCCTACACGTGGCGGCTGGGGCCTGCCCTCCTCTGGGACGGCTGGGATTCCAAAGCACCAGGACTCAGTGGACCTAGGAGGAGGAGGCAGAGAGGGGCCCGAGGCCCGGGAAGCCCCCTTCTTCCCACCACGGTCTCCCCAGAGGGTGGGGTTTTGGTGGCTCCTGCCAAGGAGGAAAAAACCGAGGTGGAGAGGGGGGCTTCCCTGATAACACCCCCAATACCTGCCTCAGAAGGCAGTGGTGAGGCTCAGGGCGGCTGGCAAACTTTAAAGCCCTATAGGAACATCAGTCTGCCTTGTCTGTTCCCAGGTGTGTCCTGTTGGGCCAGGGCCAGCCCAGCCCAAGGCCTGCTGTTATTTACTTCCTTCTGCGGGGGCCACAGGAGGGGAGCCAAGAGCACACATGCTTGGGCACACCCGCTGCCACGACCCACGCTCCCAGGGATCCCTCAGCAAAGCCTCACCTTGACTGCTGGAAAAGTCACCGCGGAAGAGGCGTAAGAGCCAATCATCAGAGCGATGAACGTGGACCGAAGGTCACCGAACATGTTGGGCAGCTGGAAAACAGAAGCCGAGCTGTGATTAGAAGGCAAAACAAGCAGAAGGCAGAGAGAAGGAGGCCAGGTTTCCGAAAGGAGGGTCTCCTCGGGAAGGGCCCAGGCACCACCTCTCATCCACATCTGAGGACTGTACCTCAACAGCTCCAGGCCCTAGGACAGAGGGGCAGTGTGAATGCCACAAGAGAATCACAGAGGACAAGGAATCAGGACAGCTGGGTTACCACTTGTGTGCCTGAACTTCTCTGGGCCTCGGTTTCTTCATCTGGAAAATGGGGCACAGCAGTCCTTTTGCACTCCCTACTTTACAGGCCTGTTGCAAGGAAAACTCTTTATAGACCCGACTGTGCTATGGCCATCTTCACTGTCCCAGATGAAGCTAACCCAAGAGACGGCTCGCCCTTCGTGGGCTAAAAGCCATTCCTTTCCAGACTCGGGCAGTTGGGGCTGATGGGCTCTCGAGGCCATGTGCTGAGCTCTCCCCACTCAGCGCCAGGGAGGCAGGACCCTGGGACCTAGGCCATTACCAAGCCAAACCAAGAACTCTAAGGACACCAATGGGGGGGCCGGAGGCCTCTCTTCAAAGGGAACTAGCTCATAAGAAGGAATTGATTTGGGAATTATGGGGCAGGATAGAGCAGTACGTGGAAGGGCAAGGGGGGAGGGGAATTAATACGGACAAAATAATCATGATGACCAAACATGGCCCCAGAAGAGAGGAGAGAAGGTGTCCCTTCCCCTCTTCTCGTCACAGCAGGAGCCCAGCGGGCGCTTCCTGCTCCACCAGGTTCACCTGGACTTGGCTGTGGGCTCAGGGATGGCGGCGTGCCCTACTCTGGGAGACTCGCACCCAGCTGCCTAACTAGGAGGTGCGGCATCAGGCCCGGGCAGCTCCCCTTTCCACTCTCTTCTACCTCCCTCCCCATCTACCCATATTCTCCTCCCACGTCCCAGGTAGGAGGGTTTTTGTAGCTCCTGTCCAGAGGACAGAGGAAAAGCTTCCCAAGCCGAGGTGGAGGACTGTGGGTGTGGAATATTGCATACGCTGTCCCACTCAGCTGATGTGTCCCTAGGTTTGCTGAACTGCTTCCCCCTTCACCTGCTCTTGTTCTTTTTTATTCTTTGTTACAAGAGATGGTTCACTGGGGAGCAACCGGAGAGAGATTTAGAAATGAAGATATCATAAAAACAAAAGACAATATTAAAATTGTTTTAAAGATGGCAGGTATAAGGCCTGGAGCTGGAATTTCACTTATCTAGGGAGCTCTCTGATGAAGAAACTCACTCTGCCAGTAGAGGTCCTTTCTTTCTCTGCCTTAAAAGAGACGTCTGGGGGGTGGGGTGGGGAACCAAGATGGTGGAGTAAAAGTAATGACTTGAGTTCTCCCCTAAACCTCTTCAAATACTTGTAAAAAGTGGCTCTAAACAAATTCTAGAGCAGCAGAACCCACAAAAAGACAGAGTGAAACAAATTTCCAACCCAAGACAACCTGGATGGTTGATTGGAAAGGTCTATCACACCAGCCTGGGAGAGGAGCACAATTCAGCCTAGGCCCCGCAGGCAAAGACCAGGTCTCCTGAAAAAGATTCCCAAAGAAAAACTCCTAGAAATACTATAGCCAAGTTCCAAAGTTCCCAGGTCAAGGAGAAAATACTGCAAGCAGCCAGAAGGAAACAATTCAAGTATTGTGGAAACACAATCAGGATAACGCAAGATTTAGCAGCTTCTACATTAAGGGAACAGAGGGCTTGGGATATGATATTCCAGAGGGCAAAGGAGATAGGATTACAACCAAGAATCACCTACCCAGCAAAACTGAGTATAATTCTTCAGGGGAAAAAATGGATATTCAGTAAAATAGAGGACTTCAAGCACTCTTGATGAAAAGATCAGAGCTGAGTAGAAAATTCAACTTTCAAATACAAGACTCAAGAGAAGCATGAAGAGGTAAACAGGAAAGAGAAATCATAAGGGACTTATTAAAGTTGAACTGTTTACATTCCTACATGGGAAGATGATATCTGTAACTCATGAGACCTTTGTCAGTATTAGAGTAGTTGCAGGGGAAAAAAAATATGTATATATAGACAGGCAGATAGAGACAAGGTGAGTTGAAGATGAAGGGGTGACCTCCTTCAGTCACCCCAAACTACTTGGCCACTCCTAGATCCCTCCCACAGCCTCTCTGTATATAAGGTCCATCTTGTCTCTATTAAGGTGCTTAGATTCTTATAATCTAGCCACTGCTCAGATTCTTATAATCTAGCCAATAGCTTTCTAATGTTCAGACTCCTTAAGAGTCTGCCCAGTATGACAGATGTTCTAATAAACCTTGTCTTTGGCTGAAAAAAAAAAAGAAAAAGAAAAAGACGAAGGGGTGATATCTAAAAAAACAAAATTAAGGAGTGAGAGAGAATTATACTGGGAGAAGCAGAGAGGGAGAGGTAGAATGGGGTAAATTATCTCACATAATACAGACAAGAAAAGGCTTTTACAGGGGAAGGGAAGTGGGGGAAGGTGAGAGGGAATAAATCAATCTTATTCTCATCAGATTTGGCTTAAGGAGGGAAGAACATACACACTTAATTGGGTATGGAAATCTATCTTACCCTACAGGGTAAATAGGGGGAGAAGGGGACAAGAGAGCAGGAGGATGATAGAAGGGAGGACAGACTGAGGGAGGGGGTAATCAGAAGCAAACACTGAGGAGGGACAGGGTCAAAAGAGAGAAGAGAATAAACAAGGGGCGGGATATGATGAAGGGAAATATAGTTAGTTTTTCACAGCATGACTACTATGGAAGTGTTTTGCATGACTCCACACGTATAACCTGTATTGATTGCTTGCCTTCTCAATGAGGGTGGGTGGGGAGGGAGGAAGGGAGAAAATTTGGAACCCAAAATTTTAAAAACAAATGTTAAAAATTGTTTTCACATGCAACTGGGAAATAAGATATACAGGCAATGGAGTATAGAAATCTATCCTGCCTACAGGAAAACAGAAGGGGAAGGGGATAAGAGAAGGTGGAAGAGATAGAAGGGAGAGCAGATTAGGGGAAGGGGTATTCAGAACGCATGCTATCTTAAGGGAAGGACGAGATGGGGAGAAAATTTGGAACTCAAAATCTTGTGGAAGTGAATGTTGAAAACCAAAAATAAATAAATTAATAGAAAAAAAACCCAATTGTTAAAATTTCAGTGTCAGCATCCATACCTCAGAAATTGCCCATCAGTACAAGTCAGGGCTTTATTTGTTTTTTTGATAATTCTTCAGAGTTTAAAAAGTGATGGAGAAAATCTTGATGCAAATTAAAGTTAAAAGTATGTCATATGTGCATTTTTGAAAGTCAACTGTTAAACATTTAGCTGCACACGGATTCTTATATAATAACCATAGATGCACTTTTGAGATTTTCACACTAAAATGGCAAAAGGAATGACAGCAAAGCAAAACTCATTCATTTTCTTAGTGGAAATGGGAAAGTATAATCACTCATGTAAAAGAACACAGAACAAGACACCTGAATCTAACCAAAAGCTTAACCCAATAAATTCTGGAAGAAGAGATAAGTCAAAATGTATACACTCTCCTTAACCTTGAAATATAAGGTGTATCTTATAAAGATTTCAAAAGGCAGGAAAGCCTTTTAGGGTATGGTAGAATAAGCCATTTGTAAAGTGTGCTCAGTTGTGTGAGTGGAAGTGGGAGGAAGGAGCTGCAAGGGAAAACAGTAAAACCCATAAATTTAATGTGATCATGTTAAAGATCTGAATAAAATTTGACTGTAAATCAAGCCATGTGACTTGAGTTTCCCAACATCATGCTTCCTGCCTGAAAAGAGTTGGTTTCAGAGAGACTAAAACTATAAAAGCATTCATTCACCTGTTTTGTGAGATGTTGTGGTATTGTGTGAGTGTTTGTGCTTCTATCTTGACTCAATAGCTGTAGAACAATTGGTAATCTGCTTTGATTAAAAAAAAAAAGTTCTCTCACCATGGGTACCTTACACGGAAAAAAAAAATCTGGACACAAAAGTGTAGAAAATAATAAACTACTACCCAAATGGTCCCTTAAAAAAGAGAGAGAGAGAGAGAGAGAGAGATGCCTGGAGCACTGAGAAGTTGTCAGTCAACAAGCACTGAAGCCCCTACTATGTATCCCCTACTGAGGATACAAAGAAAGGCCCCCAGGATATGTCGGAGACAACACTTGAACCCAGAACTTCCTGGGAGAAGGAAAAGACGGAGATGTACAAAAATATTTGTAGAAGCATTTTTTTTTTGTACCAAAGAAATGGAAACTAAGTGGGTGCCCATCGATTTGGGAACGACTCAACTAGCTGTAATGAATGCAACGGATTATCACTGTGCTGTAAGAAACAACGAAAGAGATGGAGTCTGAGAAAACTGCAAAGACTTCTATGAACTGAGGCAGGGGGAAATGAGAATAACCAGGAAGACAACTGGTATGATGATCACAGGAAGAGAAAGGAAAATAACTTTGAAACACTTCATCACTCATTAATTCAATGACCAAGGGTGCCTCCTATCTCCTGGCTGAGGGCCTTGGGGGGCAGAATGAGATGCATTTTCAGAGGTGGCCAATGTGTGGAAGTGTTTTCTTTGACATACTTATCTGTTACAAGGGAGGATCTCCATTTGGGTGGGGGAATGAGTTAATGGGAAATGAGAGATAGGGGAAAACAAGAAATATACAGAAATAAAATGTTTTAAAAAACACACTGAAGAAAATAAAAGTTCTGAAAGGGCAATGTCATTACTACCTTGTTAAATCTGATGCACACTTTTAAAGGACAAATTGTAAATCACAGCTCCCTAAAATCTTTTTTTTATTCTTTGCATATCGGAATGTTTGTGTTTGTCGTTCATTAGGTTCAAATAAAAAATCATTTTATTAAAAGTGGGGAAGGGCCTCAAATTTGGAAAAATGAGAAACCACCTGCCAAGACCACAGAAAAAAACTGCTTTCAATTTCGGCC